AATATTTAAAATTATTATAAATAATTTTAATTATTAAATAAAATTGCAGGCAAATTTGCCTGCAAAATGCTTGAAGGGATAGTTCATGCCACGTGACCACTACACTATATATTAAAATGTTTTTATAGTTTATATTTGCTATTTCTTATGATTAATAAATAAAGTTAGTTTGCAAGTCGTTTTAACCAAATGTATGCTGTATATGGGTGATGTGACATTACTTTATTGCAAGACTCACCAGAAAGATTTTATCATATAATTAGCTGGTAGATCTTACTTCTATTGGTTGGAAGTGAGAAGGGTCTTCATGATTGTCATATGATACAGCATGTCTGCCCAGGATAGGTTATCTTTTTTCGAATAAATATGGAAATGTGCACAAAAAATATGCTAATCACTCCTGATATTATATACATCATGTGAAGTATCTGACTAATCCCTATTAATCATGAGAGATCCACACAGCCTGTATTAGATTAACTTATACTCTGAATTTTTATGGCAGTCATCCTATGATTTGAAAAATATGATAACGTCAGGAAAATGTCGTAGAACTGACAGGAAGCTAGGATGATTTCTGTAATACGATTAGCTATTATCTCAAACTAATTTAACTGAATTATGCCATTAAAAAATCCCTTACATACATGTGAATATGCATATAGCCAGATGTAAATCTTATATAAATCTCTGATAATATGCTTGTAATCGAATAAAAAAATGAATCTGATATTTTATTATAATATACTTGCTACAAACTGCTATAACAAGAAATATTGCTAAATTAGCTAAAATCGCTAAAAACACTATAAATCAATAAAATCATTATATTCTGTTATAATCTAACAAAACGTTAATATGGATTTAGATAGTAGAGCTTATTCTAAGCTAATTAGTGCATACAATACTCATGGAGGCTCTGAAGAATATATAAGAATAGTTGATGCGATAGGCTCTTTAATAGTAAGACGTAATCATAAAATACCAGAAATGTGGTACTCATGTATTCGTGATCCATTTAAGGAAATACTAGAAGAGAACTATTCCAGAGGGATTCTTTCTAAGAATGGATATTTACAATGTATGGAATATTATATGAAAGTGATAGGTATCATGGTCTTTCAACAAATTATATATATTGTAGTGTATGCGACTCCTTAGTTTTCATATCTGAAAATGGTCGTATGGATGATTCTTATCAAAATAACTATTTAAAGAGTTGTATTAATGGAGATACTATTTCAAAAGAACATGCAAGAAGAAAAGATATTCTCTAATCTATTGATAAAAGAAAATTTAAGATCTGGTAATACAAATAAACTATATTAAAAGAAGAGGTGAAAATAAAGCGCCTCCAACTAGAGCTTTTCTCTCAATCTACCCTACACTCAGAAAAGGATAAATTAGCATCAGTATCATATGATTATGATACTCGTTCAATTGGCTATGAAGCTTACCTTTCGGCTAAAGCAACTATGACAAAAAATACTATGTCAAGTGCTCATGAGTCAGCTTGTATTTCATCTGCCAGGCAAAAAAATATTTCACTAACTACTTATCAGTCATCAAATTGCAAAAGTGATACAAGCGAAATATTTATCTCGTCTCTATATGCAAAATAAAATAACTTACTAGGTCCCTTGTCTTGAGCGCCTTTGGCTAGGACCTTACCATCTATAAACCATCTTAATCAGCCTACATTAAGATTGAAAGATAGGACAAAAATCACGTTCATTTAACATTCTTTATTTTTGCACTATATAATTGCATGATTGCTTAATATAATTGTAAAATGTACCACCTGCAGGATAAAAACCTGATTTACCTATTCTGGATTAGATCCTCGGCAATATACTGTATAACTATTTTAATAAAGTATTTTTTGAGAAAGATCCCGAATATTATATTAATAAAATAATATATTGTTCAACTATGCGAAACGCCTTAAGGCCAATACATGAAGGCATGTGTAACATAAATAAAACGTGTTTCTGATCTTCATTAAAGTATATATGATGTAATAAGTGATATACTGCCCAGTGTGTAAAATTCATGTGCACAATGTGCACATGTGCACATTAAATTTTTATGTGCACATATTACACAGCATAAAATGTATACAAATAATTACTAAAAATAGATAAATTATATATAAAAATGGATAAATTATTTATAAAAATGGAAATACTATGTAATACATGCATTAATTTTCTATTTTTAGTATAACTTGTGCACATGACTTTTGGTTTAAATTTTATACACTGATACTGCCTAAATTGACTATAACTCTGTGTGACTATTTGTGCAACAAATTAATTTTTACACATAAGAAATCGATCTCCAAAATATTTTGAATTTTTTCCTATTTATCTGAATAGCATTTATTTATGAGTTTATTTCCTTCAATACTAAAGGCTATTTCTACTAGATTTCGACTAGAGTATATTTATATAAATTTAGTAGGCCTTTATTACTGAACGATCGGGCAAGTGAAATAAAGAAAAAAAAGTATGTATATACATACCTCTAGCACCTTAAGGCCAATGCATATAAGCGTGTACAACATAAATTAACATATTTTTGATCCTCATTAAAGTATATACTGTTGAGATCTTTAATGCATATTCTGCATGTCCTTATTCTCGAACACAAACTTTCAGCGTAAGAGTCCGTTGCATATTCTCCTATCTCTTCCCCTCAACATGAATACAAGCCCAAAGAGAATATAAATGGAGTCATTTAAAAGGGTAGTATACTGGAGTGATGACTATTATAACTTTTTTATTTTTACCATGCCTGCCAATTTATATACTAAAATTTACAATTTCTTGTTAAATGCTAAGGAAAAGGATATTACCTCTGGGTTTGTTATCTATTAAGGAATTGAAAACAATCCCTGGATATCTCAAAATGAGCTGAAAAGTATTATCGAGTAAGCTGTTGCATTTGTAAAGAATCAATATGATTGAGATTCCTCACGCTATACTACTTTTTTCAAAATTTTACCAGAAGTAAGATATTTCTAAAGAAAGTAAAAAGAGAATTTATTTGAGTGATGAATAACGCAGACTGATACTGTTCTGAGGAAGAGAGTATAATAAACTAAATATCCTATTAGCCTACTCACAGGATTTTTTCTTCGGCAATGTGAAGGGTAGTTAGGCTATAGTATATGCTTAATTCAATGTGATTATTTTAGTATTGTATAAAGTTTTTATTTGAGTATTAGAGTAGCTAACCATGCGAAAATAGGGCTTTATTTTAATCTGATAGCGTATGCACTTTTGATAATTATATATATATATATATTTAGAACTAATTAATTGTATGTTTGCGTTAGTTTAAAATTGGTTTTAAAACAGTTTGTAGTTTACGTAACATCAGTGCAGTGAAGACGAATAGAGAAAGGCCTCTTAGTTCAGATAAAATTGGAAAAAATATCAAGGCGCTAAAGGCAAACTTAGAAAAAATACATCATAGCTTTACTACCATTTGTTTTCGGGTGTAAATGAAGTGTCTGTTTCTGAGTTAACCTGAAAGGATCCTCTAGCCAACCAAGTAATTAACGATGATTCAGATCTGGTGAAAAAATTCCAAAACAGTTGAAGGAGTTTTTTATGGTAAATTATTCTTTTTTATTATACAGTCATATGCGAAGCGTCTTGTTCAAAGAACATCTCTGGCTAACAGCTAATATTTTTTGATCTTGACATCATTTAATTTATGCTATCATTAGAAATCAGTAGAAGATATGGTTCCTTCATCACTTCCATAAAATATATGGGAAAATGCGAAGAATTCGTGGCTAGCTTTATTGAGAGTGATATGAACATTTTACCACAAAAACTTTCGCATAATGGGAAGTGAAAAGAATCAGATGGGGAGCTTGCAGAGGTCACATTAAGAATTTTGGGTTCTCTAAATGATTCATGAAATAATCCTGCATTTAGTTCTGAGTTTGCAAAATCATAAAATGAAGATACTTATATGACAAACGTAATTGTACCTGCTATTCAGGCTATATTAAAAGGTCTTTCTTTAGAGAGGTCATCTTATATCAGCACGTGAGTTATAATATAATTAGGAAAAGTGATATTTCGAAAACTTAGACCATCACTATAGATGCTTGCCGAAACCTTCTCAAAATAATTTCGTCATATCCTTTTCTATGTTTTTAATATAGTTTTGACAGTTTCGGCTTTCATAGTATCGAAAGGGTTTTGTCATATCCCTTATTATGATTTTAATATAGTTTCGTCTAAGTTTCAACTGTTATTAAGGGGTTTCATCTCTCATCATTAACCGTCACTAATATTCTTCTTCTATTAGTGTTGAATGCCAAAGTTCAGCTAGTATATATAGGAAAGGTAAAGGGCGAACAGGAAGACGGTCAGATATCATGTTTGTGATGAAGCATGATGGAAAAAAATATGAGCTCATATATATTAAAAGTTCACGCTTGTTTTACACATCACAGAAGGAAATTGATGATAAAATAAAATTATGACGTGAAACTAATAATGGAATGTACTGGGTTCATAAATCATCTGGGCCAGATAAAGGTGAATTCAGAATTATTGGAATGCAAATTGCCAGACAAATAATACGCTTAAATGTTCTTATTAGAGATATGAAAAATATTCATCATTATTATCATCTTTACGAAGCAAAAATTCTCGTACAACTATCTGATCCATCTCTCGTAATAAATTTCGTAAAGACTTTACTGATTTTATGGAATATTTTAATAGTTAATATGTCTTTACTACTTAATGCACCCTCAGTTAGATCCAAAAGAAATAAAGGCAGTTCAAATATAGATTCTGAATAGATAAGATTATATATGTAGTAAATTTATTATTATTTTTTCTGTATCAATAAAGTGACCCTGGTGGTTAATTATTATTAAATTACATATTCATCCATATTTTTTCGTGTGAGGAATGGAATGTGCATTAGCAAAAGTTGCTGACCATTGGTCAGGATGTCACGTGTTTTTTTGGAGAAAAATTAACCGAAAGGCGCTTTGCATGAATTAGCTTAAGTACTTTTTTCCTTGCGCTTCTGCCTCACCTCTATCTCTTTCTGCAGGTTCAATGGTGTGTCAAACCTTAGCCGAATTGCAAGAGGATCATCCTCAGGCCTACTGAGATCAAATACAACAAACTCACCCTTTTTGCGAAGATAGCTATTAATGACCATTGATGCATTTTTTACATCATCGGTATAGCGTCTAATAATTTTGGAAACGTCTTTACTAAAAACTCTATGTTATCATTGCATCTGATCAGTAGATACGTGTGATAAATCACTTAAAGCGTCAATCAATGATGTAACACTTTCCCTAACGATGCCACTAAAATTGAGAAAAAAGAAAAAATCTCCAACAGGTATGTGGATGAATTGCGAGCATTATTTGTAGTTATCCCACTCACTCGGCAAAAAATAGCTCCCAAGGAGGACATCAATGTTGGCACATCTTTGAAGGGTATAGAAAAGCCCGAGGAAGTAGTATCGCCTTTCCCAAGGAAACTGTCTACAGGTAAAGTGGGCGTATTACGAATATTTTTTATGAAGCAACTCATTTTTATTGACAAAATAGTTTCTATGGAGGGTGTTGAGTCCACCGAAATTGCCCCATCTACGAAAGACAGAGAGGTTACTTCAACCACTCCAAGCATTGAAGAAATCAAAAGGTGGAAGCCAGCTGATATTATAAATTTTTTACAAAAGAAAAAAGAAGATCTTGACCTAGATGATGAGGATATTGAAATAATCAGAATGAATAAGGTAGCCGGTCAAGCATTCCTTCTTCTAACCGAAGAAAATCTCCTAAATAAACCCTATAATCTTGTTGGCGGTCCAGCAAAATCAATCGCGTATTTGATTGAAACTCTCAAGGGCGGAGAAGGTATGTTGATTGTCGTGATAAAAAATTAGTAGTGTAAAAATTATCACAGTGGGAATGCTAATATTTGATGAACTGTTTGGTATATTGTTTTGCGACGCTGACTAATTATGGCTTTTCTTTTTATCAGTGACGCTAAAGCGTAAATATGAATTACTAGAAGATTTAAGTAATATTATAGAAAGTGCGGTAGATAAATCGGTAGAGAAATCGATAGAGAAAGCATTTTCCCAGCAAAAGCCTAATATTATCTCAGTATCAAAGCTTTCCGAAACAATGATGAAAAAAATTATTGATGATATTGGAATAAAGACTGCAAATGTAAATACTTTCTTTTGTATTATTTGGAGTGTTTCTTATCACTTATCATTTATCCATTCTAGTTATCGGTGGAAGACTTTCTACCACTTGAAACTGTGTCATGCGAACTATTCAGATGGGATATAGAAAAGGAGGAAGCTCATCACATGCAAGATGTTGAGAAATGGTTTAAGAATGTACTGATGCTACCAAGGAATTTCCACGTGAAAGATGTTCACAAACAAGTAAACTATCAATGACATTTGCGAGGTGCGAACACTATTATAACAGGTGGTGCCGATATATCTGTCAGACCAAGTGAGACAGCTTGCATTTGAATTGAAACTAAGAAAACATTGGAAGATTTTAAAGAGGGTCAAGTCATAGGAGAATTATTCTTAATAGATAAACTCCATCTGACAAATGCAATGACCGTCTTAACGGATTGCAATGATAATTGGATAATTTACTTCTTCATGAAAATAAAAGATGAACAATACATAGCAACGTCTAGAATTAATAATAGTCATACCGCTTTGGCGATAATTAAACAGTTTGTGCTTGAAGAAGGACAAAATTTTCACAAGTGGATAGGAAAAGACATCACTTATCAGGTAAACTTGCCTGCGTCTCTTAAAAAAAAAACAAAATTCTTCGAAAGCATAACTGAAGCAGATGATGCCAGAATCGCAGACATGGTTGGCGACATGTCAAAACAAGAATTATTCAACATGACAGTTCAAAAAAAGTTAATGTTAGTGAGAGATTACTGTAGATTGGATGAACAGCCACAAGTGGATCAACTTATTAGGCAGTTTAGTGATAATTATGAAAATCCACAAAGTCAAGTAGAATCTGATAGCAAAGAGAACATTGAAGAAAATATTAATGAGATGAAAACAGACTTACAATTTAAAAATCATGATATCAATCCTGAAGGTCTTCAGGGAGCATCTTTAGATGATATTTTAGACACTATCAAAGGAAAAAACAGATCTGAATGTATTGCAATGTAGCCAAATGAAGTATATTATGACTTTATGGAATTGATAATAGAGAGTAATATATCTAATAAGATTGGTAATAAAATAATAAAATTTTCAATAAACATAGTGATTTGAGAAAATCTTCATTACCAAGTTCAACAAAAAATAGCAAAGATTATCTCAATCAAATAAATTCACCCTCAATAAATTTCAAAGAAAAAGTCATTGTGATCTATAATGAAGTTGATTTTATTCTCTATTATCAACTAATTTTTCGTGTGATTCAGACTCTTCTACAATGTTCAGAAGTAGCTGATAAATTTATTCATAAAGAAATCCTAAAAAAAGATATAAACAGTAGAATAAGAATATATGGCAAACTATATGAAGGTAACTGGTAGTTAGAAACAGAGAAAGCCTTTCACTCTTAAATTGTCTATTATCTATTATTTTGTATTCAGATGTAACAACCTTTAATAGACTTAGCAAGTCATCAGAACATCTAGTATTTTTAACGCTTGACAACCTTTTAAATCGATTTTATTACCAAAAGCAAAAGTTCTTTTGAGATTCTTGCCAAAAATATAGGATTCAAGAATCAAAACTGCTAAATCATTTAGAAATTTACAATGTGAAGTATTTCACAAGTGTTTTGATATTATGTTTTGACCTTTGTTAGAAAAACTTAATACATTATATTTTAGAGTTAAAGGATAGCATATGCATTTTGCTGTACGTATATTATTTTTTCTTTTAGATATGCTTGAAGCTGATAAAGTAATGGTAACATATAAGTTAGCGTGTTGTAAAATGCCATGTCATACTTGTATGGTTGAGCAGATAATGTGAATAATATGAATATTATATTAGAGGATATGCCTCTCAGAATTCATGAAAACATGTAAAAAATTATATGAGAAAGCCAAGAAAAAGACTTTTTTATACATTCTATTGAAAATGCTTTCTGAAAATTTCTGTAAATATTACAATTTAACCTCCTATTTAAATTGAAGTAATCGTTTAAATTATTGCAAATTAAATTAATTAAACTGAATCTTAATAAAATTTCATAGAAATCTGAATATTTACGAAACTTATATTTCTCAAATATTAATTAGAATTCACGCAGAAAATTTTGAAGGATGCTAGAGGAATAGAATTGTTGAATGTTTTTAATAAATGACTCTGTTAGATTCTTCACTTTCCTAGTCTCAAACTGATAAACTAATTAGATCATCTAAAAGTGGCTACTACATCAGATTACTGACATATTGTGAAAATTGTCTTTTTTGCCTTGGATGATATTTTTAGCGAATGAGACGAAATAACTTGTAATGAACTTTGTGATCTTTATTCAAAATTCAGTAAAATATATATGATGAGCAGAAAAGAATCATATACAGAAAATGAAATAAGAAAATTTGAGGTAATTACATTAGCATTTGATAGAAAATTATTTAAATTTAAATTATATTAACAAATTCTATTAACAAAAATCAATTACTGATTAGTAAACTGACTTCAAAAGATTATTCTCTTCATTGTCTTTGATAGAATACAGTTTTCTTAAACTGTACAGCTAGCGGTATCATACAGATAACTGGTTCTTCAGAATTATGAATTATGATTTTGCAACTAGCAACTAATTTTGATTTTTTCGTATCTAATTCTAATTTTAGTTCTAGCAATTCGTAAATATAGAACGTTAAATGAGCTTTTCATTAAAACTTATAAAACTCTTCACAAGTATTATGTCAAAAATTCTTACTAGTCATCAAACAGAAAAAATATGATGCAGCAACTTTTAAACGCTGTTAGTTAAAGTCCAAAATATTTTTCTCCTAAAATAAATTAATATTGACTCAAAATTTAATACAATTTTTAGGTAAAATGTAATAAATTATCACTAATAGTTAGCAAAATTATTCAACGTAAAACTGAAGAGTTTGAAAAGTTTCTTTGAGAGTTTCACCTAAATGCTATTGATCAAAAAATAAAGTCTTTTAAAAAATCAGAAAATTCTTCACATACGAATTTTATTGAAGGATTATCTCAAATAATTTTAGCTCTAGACATCTTTCTAGATACGTTATCACAGAATTCAAAAAGTAATGACTTTTATATTAAAATTTACAAATCAGTTCATTTGGAAAGTAAAAAGATTTTAAGAACTTCTGGAGATTTCAAGACAAAGAATGGTTTAGCAATGTGACAGTATCTTCTGCAAACGATTAAAAATAATACAATTTGGATGAGATGCATGATATGAAAAAGTAAGTGAATTTTCTTAATTAAAGAATATCATTTTTTTTCTTAGTATTTTTAACAAAATATTTTTACAGGTATTATTGTTGTTTAAATTCTTTCAAAGGTCGTTCAAAGAGCCATACGAACTTGCTCTTGTTCACTGGTATGATATTTAATTAGAAGAGCCTGAAGTTTATGGCTATTCACAACTATATTATACTAAAGAATACAACGTAATTCTAATAGGTTCTATTAATCAAAAAGTACATATTGTGCTGAAGTTTAATAAGAAAAATTGTTTTTTATTAAACAAATATATATTTTAAATACAGTAGTGATCATAAGTATCTGACTGCTCAAGATCATCTAAAATTATTATATAACTACCCTTAAATTTTCCAGAAATATAATGTAACATAATACATGATCACCTGTAAATTTATAAGTGTCAATGATACAAAAAAAAAATTTAGATGATC